ACTTGCATGCTATTATAAGATGACTGCCCTTTCAAAATATCGTGAGCAGCATAGTAGAATGGAGTTAAAAAATTGATATCGCCATCTGCGGCACAGCTTTTACGCATACTCTATATTCCATACAAGCGAGCTCACTAAATGCATATCGCAAGTTGTGCGTGTATAGGTTTTTGCACAATTCATTTGCCTCGTAATAATGGTAAATTGTATTCTTCCACTTACACGGGGAAGGATGGAAGCACACTAGGGTGCTGCAGTTTTTACATATTAATATGTTTTGCAGTGTGGCACATTTATTGAATTCCGAACAACACTCAGCCACCTTAAAGTTGATGAAGGAAAGCCAGGTTTTGAGGAACTTCCTGCGTCCGAATTTTACATTATGTCTGCTGGTAATTCGTGCTTGTAAATTGGAACTCAGGGTTATTCAGAAGACAGATACTTTTTAGGGGATGCAGCGCTAATAATAATAGCAAAAGAAATAAAAAAGCCAAATATGTAAAAAAAGACTCCTCAACACCTGAAATTTAATACGAGATGCTGCAGCGGTTGAATTCTTGCACTTATTGGAAGCCATTTCGACATTATTAGTCTTTATCGTAAGATGGTTATTAGGAATAAGGTATAAATGATCATGTGTATGAAAGAAAGACGTAAAATGCTTTCGGATTTGCCCGTTTTATGCAACTCAATATCTTGCCGCTGGACAACAGGGAATATGAAATTCATTTAAGAAATCAACGGGGTAAAATGCTCCAACGTAAAGAAAATTGGTCACAAATACACAAAATATCTCCAAAAAAGTGGCATGCTAGATTAACAGGAAACGTGTAAACAAGTGTTTCAATCGTTGGTAAATCGGTGGCATGCGGGAAGACAAAATCACTTCAAAAATACGTTCAGTATGCAGCACCATTTTCATCAAAGACTTAAAAACAGGAATCACATTACCGCGGGAGAAAAGTGAATTACTCAAAATCTCAAAAAGGGGATAATTTGACGTTCATTAACAATGTAACTCTTCAAAAACCACCTGCTTTAGCTTATCCAACTGCTGATGCGGTTAGTGCCCATTCAGTCAAGTGTCAAATTCAACTGAAATGTTTACTCAATTGTACGTTTTGAGGAATATCGATTGTTTGAAAGATAATCTCCAACGCTCATGTGAGCATAAATATTCACCATTTGCGAAACTGTTGCGATCCTTACGTTTGGTTTCATCGTACGTAAAAAAATCACGTGGTGGGCTCATTCTGCCGAATGGCAATGATATCCCGAAAAAATTTTCAAAACAATCTACTGATGGCGAAGTGTATAAAAGCAGACCGCACGGTTACTAATGTTGATAAACCGTTCCCTGCTCACAAGCGGCGTACACTACATAAGACAAAAGTGAACTGTCCAGTTTAATGTACTACCGCCTCTGTGTGGAAACCACGTATATAAAGGGCCACCTTATAAAGTCGCAATTTGGCATGCTATAAAACCAACCTATTAGGGCAAAAACAGCAGTAGAGTGCTTCTCGACATTTCAGCATAGATTGGGTTCACTTACATCACAAAATCTTTACAAACCAACAAATCGTGTCTGTGTTTATCCATTGTAGCTGAATCTGCCAACACAATGATACATACCTCAAATTTTGTGAAAGATTTTCCTAACTCAAAGGTTTTAAGCGCGAACAGCGTCTCAAGCAATTTCCTGATATTGGCCGGCACAATAGCACGGCCTCCGACAAATAAGTCATCCAAGGCATGAGATAAGTTACAAGAGAGGTTCGGCAATAGATAGTTGGTCAGGCAGCAACATTCTACTCAAGTAATGCATATGAATAAAGTCCTTTTTTAACAATTCATCACATGGCTGTTAATGTGTTTACCGTAATTTCCTCACAAATCGCCGAGACATCCTCAGTGCCTCTCTGTGTGGCTATTCCTTATCTCTGTGTTTGCGTTTTTTACAAAGAGATGCTTGCGCACTATAGAATGATTGACCAGTGAAAGTCGTTGAACACGATTGTGAAGAAACACTACGGCGACCAGCCCATGAACGCAAGCTTGCTGCTGAGAGACACGACCTAGTCTCGCTTTTTTATATAACCAAAGATGAGAAGGACACAAATCGGATAAGAATAACGTCACGTCAGAATACTGGGCCGAGCAAGAACACGGGTGCATGTAGTCATTTCATCGCACTGATAATAATAAACAGACACATTGAGGTTAACCCCTCCTCATCACCCTCAGAATACAAAGGCGATGGAGAGCCGAATATTAATTCAAATAAGGAATAAACAAATGAGAAGTACACTAACAACCAATCAAACAACAGAGAAACATACTAAGATGCAATACATTTAGCTAATGGACTAACAATTAGATACAAAAATAACTTCAATTTCAACAGTAACGAGGCTGTAGAGAACATGGAATGAAAACCACAGAGCATCGCAAATTATGGTCGGATCAACCAGAATCCAAATAGGTGACTGAGAATGTTAAACCCTGTTACAGCAAAAAAAGTTGGTCTTTGAAAATTATACTTACTCAAGCACAAAGGGGGAACCACCCTCCCAAAAAGCGCACTGAAAATTGCTCGTCATTAGTGACAGAACATTTGCTGATCAAATGCATACCTGGGAAACAGATTAAAAGCAACCAAATCGGTTATCAATTTGGGCACCCGAGCCACCATCCCTCTAGCAAATTAAAAACCCCGTCTAGCAGGTGGATTTGTCAAAATGGTAATTGTGTACTGTTCCAATCAAAAATTAAACTCAACGACAGTTTTATAGTGCCACATGTCAAATCAATCAAATATGCAATTAAACAATCAAAAGACTTTTATTCAGCCTTTTCAAAATCTCTGCTCCAAGTTGTTGAATGCTAATTTGCCAGTCTCTACCTTGGTGGAGCAAACACATTGACTGTGAAAATTTTCGAAGTTATTTTGAATCGAACAACTGGCTCAATTTCTCTCTGGTGTGGATACATACCTCAGTGTCATAACGCACAATATAGGATTTTTAGTCATTTGCTCGTCGCAAAATCGCCAAAGGTTTGAGAGTTTCACCCATCTCACAAAGTAAAGTTTTTGTTTCGTACCTTTCAAAAATCTTTAGCAAGCGTTCTAAATATCTGATGATGCACACATCACCATGGAGCGAGCAACAAAAGCAGACAGGATCAGCGGGTCAGGCAAACGGTGAAATCTTCTTGTGACGTTTTGCTTGTGCAGGTAACTACGCATTACTGGTCACCGCATATATCAGGTAACCTAGTGACGGCTAATCATGAGCCAAAACGTATACAGGATGGAAACCGAGACATTAAAAGCAATCATCGAAGTTTTCGGAAGCTGATAAAGGAGGAGGTGTGTTAGGCATCATTTGAGTGTAAAGCTACCGAAAAAGTAAACTAAGATATGAGTCCAACAGCAAATTCATTTCGGAAAATTTGGCGCCTGTTATTGATCATGCTCACGGCGAAGACATTTCGGACAAACTCAAGCTTGTTGGCCAAGACTGAACACAATTAATCCACAGACTACGAGTACAAATAAGACCAACTGCATCATTCTTTAAGTATGCAAAAACCTCAGTAGAACACGGTTGCGTTATTCTGTTTGAAAAAATGACACGTCTCATCATATAACTTCAAGTAGCACACTAATGGATAGACCGAGAATCTTTAAGCTTGTGCGTAATCTCCGGGAAAATGCAAATGATGGATAACCTTCAACTAGTTCTGAAGTTGGCCCTTTGAGTTGTGTACCTGTGATAAAAAGGTGGTGTTACTACACAAGAACTGAGAGGAACATTAATCTTGCACGGCGCAACTGTAGCATACCGGCGACATGCGGAACACTTGAGGCCACATGCACATTGAACATCATTGACGCTTTGTTCGTTCTGGGATTTTAAGCCTGCCTAAAGAGATTGACAGTTGTGTTTTGTGTGGCTTTTCTTCGTATGTCATCGGTTGATGCATACTGACCTAATCCAGTTGCTTATTGTATTCGCCTAATTTGAAAAATTTCATCCCAAAACCGTGAGGATTTATTAAGGGAAATTCGAGCCAGAGTTGTCACGGTTTCGTACGCTTTATTCTTGGGATATCTGTCATTCTCAACATGTTAAGTACAGAAAAATATAATTGGCGGTCAAATCAAAACACTTCGCGGACAATTTTATTCATATCCTTTCAACGGCATAACATCTAGTGTAGTTATATCAAAATGATCAAGGAAACTTATTGCGAGAACAGCTTGATGTTATTTTTGCGAAGCAATGCGTCCTTTAGCAAAACGTGCTGACCAAGAGCAATATTAGTTTTTTCAAGAGACCTGCATCCATTCCTCACGTATCGCAATGTGACCCATAAAGGAAAGTGCACATGTAACGGCGGTATAGATGTACCGGTGGTACAAAACATGGTGTGGCACGCGAGTAGTATGTGTTGTTCGTGAAATTTTGCTTTGTGTCCTTTCGAAAAGGATATCTATAGCGGAATTTGTGGAGTCATTCTATAACATTTGCTTGAATTTGAGCGAGAAAGGCTTGGAGTCAGTAAATCTCCAGGAAAGTTAAAGACGTCACGTTCAGAGAAGATGAGTATCCATTCTTTTTAAATAAGATGCAAATTAGATATTAGCTTATCTGTCCAATGGTCTGTAACCGGTCAGTTGGCATTTCCTAATAAATAACCCCGCAGCGATGACCTACTTCCTTTCATTTGGTGCAATGATCAGGATAGGGATGAATATCCGGTGGCGGCAAACTTTTGGGAATGGGGATGTTCGAACCTTCCCTGAGGACTTTGAAGAGGTTGCAGAGGCGACCTGACTGGACACTGACCAGGGTAAGTTGGCAGCGCAGAAAATCTACTCAGGGGCTGCCCTTGATGCGGCCAAAATAGGCTCTCGGATGATGGACTGAAGCACTGCGAAGGAGTCCCTTACAGCGAAGTTCGACACGCTGGCTGACCGGCAGGAGGCTACGAGGCGGTTCAAGACGGCCAAGATGGCACGCGTATCGGACCCGGCCGTCTTCTATGCCGGCCTGATGCAGTTGATCGCGCTTTGCCGACGCTGGACGGAGTGTCGTGACACCAGTTGCTGTCGGACCAGCTCGTCGAAGGTGTACAGGCAGCGCTTGGTGCCCAGTTGCGGTTGGCAGGAGCAACTGGCCAGTCGAGTGTGGAGGAGCTGGTCCGTCTTGCCCGGGAGCTGACTGGGGAACCACTGACCAGGTTGCAGTCGCAGGAGAAGAGGAATGGTTCATCAGTGGAGGAACTGCAGACCAAAGTGGGCCAACTCGCCCAACAACTGGCAGCCATGAAGACGGAAGTGCGGTGGCACGCTCGAACGAGCCGGTGTTACAAGTGTGGCAAGCCTGTCCCCGTACCCGATCACTTGTATGAAATAAAACTTTAGATTATTCCTCATTTCCTGGGTGGGTCACGAGTAGCGAACTGATACGAGCTACCATACAAGCCGTTGTCACGGTGGATGGGAAAAAACGTTATGTTTGATTGAGACACGAGCAGGCGTATCGCTGAGGCAAGGTGGGAACCAAGCTGAACGCAGACCGTGCGCACCAGCTGTGAGAGCTTTTCGAGGGTATCGACTGAAGACTTATGGATCGTCAACGCACTCGATTTGCCTGACCGACAAGTTCGTGCAGCACGCTTTTCTGATCAGCCAAGACGTAAAACAGACAGCACTGAGGGCAAATTTTCTCAAGTGCACAGATTCCGTGATTGACCTAAAGCGGGGAAAGCTGATGACAAAGTATAGCCCAATCCAGCTTGAGGGTTACCAAGGTGCTGTCGTGTGTGAGCTGTGTGTCCGAACAATTCAGTCTTGTAATGTACCGTGAATACGGTCCAAGGTCAAGGGAATATTCCGAGCTGTTCACGGGCAATGAGAATCCGTTTGTGAATTGAACGCAAAGTTCCTCTGTCGTCAAAACACCTTCGACCTTATGGTTCCCGTCCGGTGCCGCTCCATTTACGGGAAGAGGTCCATAAACAGATTAAGATGTTGAAGAACGGCTAATCCAAGAATCCAATACCGTGTGCAATACCTCAGTTGTGCTTGAAAGGCCCCCGTCCGTTGCCGCTTCATCAACGGGAGGAGGTCGATAGACAGATTCAAGAGAAGTTGAAGAGTGGCATAATCGAAGAAGCCAGTAGTGCCTACACTTCCCCGGTTGTGCTGGTAAGGAAGACGAACGGAAAGTACAGGTTTTGCGTGGACTTCCGGGGGTTGAATGAACTGACCGTAAATCGGGTTGTGGCCGTGCCTTCGGTTGCGGAGATTTTCGATTCCCTCTAGCACTCCCGATACTTTACTCTGTTCGACTTGCGTTCCGGGTATTGGCAACTACCTATCAAGGAGGAGGACCGGGATAAAACTGTGTTTACGGTTGGGGACATCCAATATCAATTTAGACGAATGCCGTTTGGTTTATCCGGGGCACCATTCACATTCCGGCGCTTGATGCTTTGTGTAAAGAAGGGATTCCAGAATGTTGCCGTGTACGGAGATGATATCGATGTGAACAGCAATTTGGAGCCAGAGCACGCGGTTCACTTGAATGCTGTGTTGAAGCGGATCCGGGAGGCTGGCCTGCGGCTGAATGGAGCCAAGACACAGCTCGCTCGGAATTCGTTGACGCTGCTGGGGCATTAATTGGGTCAGGAAGAAGCTATCCAACTGCCCGAAAAATTGGCAAAGATCGAGGATTATGCTGTTTCCAATTCAAAGCGGGGTCCACGGCAGTTTCTTCGACGAACAACATACTACAGCCGGTTCGTTATGGATTTCAACGCAATCGCTGCGCCACCGCACGATTTGCGCGGTCAAAATCGGAAATTCGAGTGGATCCGTGAAGCACATGAGTCTTTTTAGCCTGTCAAAGCGCGGATGTTGGATCAGCAACTGACCTTCAAACTACCCATGGTCGGAGAGATGTTAACTGTTGCATCGGACGCCAGTGTTCCCGGTATCGGCGTAGTCGTAAAGCAGAGGAAAAAGGTCATCAAATTTGGCCGTCGTGTCTTGACTAACGCTGAACGAGTGTGCTCGACCATTGAGAAGTAATGTTGGGCATTCACCCAGACCCCGGATAAGTGGAGATCCATATCCGCTCGGGCAAAGGACTCACGTCGAAACCGATCACAAACCCCTGGAGTGGATCAGGAACACCACAGGTGCTCGCGTAAAGCTCAGGCGCTGGGCGCTCCGGTAGCAAGATTGCGCTTTCACAATCCAGCACGTACCAGGAAAGGAGGACCGCTTGGCTGATGGGCTGTCAAGGACGGAGGCTGAAGATGAGGTCCCCAAGATCATGATTGGAGCCCATGGACTCATCGTCGAAATGGACCACGGAAAGTTGGTGCATTCCCAACTGCAGGATCCTGTTAGAAAAGGTTTGCAGCTGCCTTGTTGGATGGAAGGAACTTTGAGAACGGAGAGGGAGACAAGGAATTAGAAGCGTTCCATAGTCACTTTGGTCGGCTGGGACTGAATGAAGCTGGCATAATTTCCCTTAACGTCACTGATTCGGATGTTGTGCTGTCCGTGATACCTCGAAACTTGAGGCGGAATCTTATCGTCGAATGCCATGAGATGACACATACAGCGTGCACCAAGTCGTACGACTTAGTTCAACAGAAGGCACATTGTCCCGGGATGAGGTGACAGAATATGTGGTGCCCTGTATGCGTTGCCAACTGATGAAAGGGTATACAAAAGGGTGACGACATGGACCTCGTTCCGCTGACAACCTGTGGGAACCAATACATCGTGATAATGAAAGAACACCTGTCGCGATGGACTGAGGCGGCAGCCATGCCTAATCAACGGGCGGCGACGATCAGCGGAGTTGTAATTCATGGCATCGTGGCCAACCTTTGGGTGCCAAAAATGATCATAACCGTTCTGGGGCGTTGCTTCAAGAGCGAATTGTTTAGACATTGCTTGCAGAAGCTGGGTACCGGACGGCTAAAATGGCATCTTACTCCCGGCAAACAAACGACCTAACCAAACGTAATAACCGAAGGATCAACGAGTGGCTTGCGGCCAAGGGAGGTGACTGGGAAATGAACTTGCCAACGGTGTTGTTAGCTCATCGTTCTTCCATACAGTCAACCATAGGTAAGTCCCCGTTTATGCTGATGTGCGGTCAATCACGGAATTGGGTTGTGGCAGGCAACATGCTTGTCTCCGGAGGAGCTAGAGGAAAAAAAGAAGAGAGCTCGAGAAAATTTGGCCGCCTTTCAGGAGAGGACTAGGCAGAATACAGCAAGTAGAAAGGTCTGAACGTTCCCCATAGGCATGAACGTCAAGTGGAATGACCATAAGAATACTGGAAGGAATAAACTGGGGTCGCGGAAGCTAGGAATTCGATGGCAAGGGCCGTTTTTCGTTGCCGATTGCCGGGGAAATGTCTATACTATTCGAGCTGGTCGGGGATCAAAATTAGTGAATGTGACGCAGCTTTGCAAGTGGCATGATACACCCGAAGACCGGCCTAGTAGACTCGCTGCTGAAGTAGACCTGACGGATGTAAATGAAACTCGATGGCATGCGAACGAGTTTTATGGGGTGGAGGTGTGTAACCGTGGAACAAAACATGGTGTGGCACGCAAGTGGTATGTGTTGTTCGTGAAATTTCGCTTTGCGTCTTTTGGAAAGGGGAGATCCTTTGTGGAATTCTTGAAGTCACCCTGTAACATTTGCTTGGACTTGAGCGAAGAATGCTTGGATTCAGTGAACCTCTACGAAAGTTCAAGAAGACGCGTTCACAGAAGGCAGATATCACATTTTTTGAGTAAGATGCAAATTAGAGTTTGCTTCCCTGTCCAATGGTCTGTAACCGTTCAGTTGGTATTTTCTAATAAATAACTCCACAGCAAAGGCTTTCTCTCTTTCATGGGTAGCAAACATCGACAGGTCTCTTGGGAAACAGAGAGTGCTGGCTTAATTTCCATCAGCATTCGCTGAGTTATCATTTTCTTTACACCAGGGCGCTTGAAATAATAGTGGGATGTCTGTGAACTACTTGGCGCATTGAGATTTAATGGTCATATCTAATGCCCCTCGTTACCATCACGCTACATGATATTTTCACCAGGCAACGTGAGCAGAAGATTGTAGACTGAAATCGGAGAGGAGCGTTTTATACTGGCATCAGATTAATTTGGTTTCCAGTTATAGCTTTTCATCGGCTAAGTGCTACTAAACAATGTGAACAAAAACACTGCTGACTCAGAAGGTGAGAGGTAACCCAAAGAATTTTAAATATAGAGAGGCCACACAACAGTTGAAGCAGAAACGGGATTAAGCATCAGTTTATATTCCGGGTTAACTAATCTTGATAAAAAAAACAACACTGTTGTTATTATGTTTGTCAGGCTCTGCGGTTTTCATGAATAAGACAAATATAATGGAAAAATGTATTTATTTAGTGGTCTAAGTTGGTTATGAAAACGGTAATTTACCGTTTTTCCAATTTTGGGCTTGTTACTTGTATTGCTTGCTATTTATGTTACTTCCACTTTTGTGCTACTGGCAGCCTCTGTTGACCGACACCTCATTTTCTGGTTTGCTGTTTTATTTTTCGGTAAAACCTACCATTCGTGTGCTTGAGTTTCATGGAATGTTTTCAGAGGTTGTTTCAGTTTTACGGCCAAACTCAGCCCTACGGGAGCAAATTAATTTGGGTAGTCTCAAGCCCCCTTAATCCATCTTCCGCTACGGCGTTTGCGGGATATGCAATGCTCATGTTCTTATCAAATCTCAGTCGTCCCCGTCTCTGGGCGTCATTTTTCTGATGAGCAAACGCTGAAAGCACTGGACTTGGGAGCACATCGGAAATGCACATTTAATATCCGTGCTCGGGTTTAGACTTCATAGATTTGAGTTTTGAGCAAAACCACCACTTCAACAACGCTGTTGAACGCATCTGAATATTCCCGTCTAAAACGGCCAACTCCTCAAGTTTGGGCGATATGGTTGAAGCGCATGGCGTATCGAACAACGACCCAATAACTGCTCAGTGTGACATGATCAATCAATCATATGGCGCCACAGGAGGTTAAAAGTCGATGGCCGAGGTCTGTCGTGATTTTCGCGATTAGTAGTAAGATTACTAACACTTAGATTCTCGGCCCCATTTCTTGGAGTACGTATTCTTGAGAACCCACTCGGACGAAAAAAAGCGCTGAATTTGCACTTCGTTTTTTTAATAATTAATAAAAGTTAACTTACTTGCCCGGGGGCACATAACTGAACTGTGGGGGTCCAGTCAGAAGTCCGGAAACACACAGACCGCGGGCTTTCATTTCTCATCAATTTCGTTACATTGCCGCTGGTTTATATCGCATTCAATCATTCATATAATGGTTCAGTCGACTTGACGCATTC